CCGCCAGTGTGGCAGTGAAGTTCAGTAGGACATTGAAGTATACCATCATCTTGTGTCGGTGCTCAAGAACACAAGTTCAGACTGATTCTGGAGGCCTGCATACTGTAAAACTAGTCTTTGCTTTCTAGACTAATTAGTTAACCCTAACTAGTTCTTGATGTTGGTTTCAGAAGTGCTTTACCACCCTGATATATCTTGGCATAAATTTTTCTTGTTTCCCACAGGGTGATGATGGTAGCAAAAAAATTCCTGGATGCTGGACACAAACTCAACTTTGCTGTAGCTAGCCGCAAAACCTTTAGCCATGAACTTTCTGATTTTGGTTTGGAAAGCACTGCTGGAGAGATTCCTGTTGTTGCTATCAGAACTGCAAAAGGAGAGAAATTTGTCATGCAGGAGGAGTTCTCGTGAGTTACAAGTTAGCGTGGGTTTGGGATTTGATTCTGCAAGGAAACTATTATAAGCTTTTTATACTACTGAGAATTTATAAAGAATGTTCAAATGTGAAGACAGATCCTCTAGTCAGGACCTATAACTATCACTTTTCTCAGTTAATTATTGGTACTTACTTTAAGGATCATCATCAATAATAAATTCTTTTTTAAAAAATTTTATTTAGTTATTTTTCAAGTACAGTTTTTTGTCTATTTCTCCCATCCCAGCCCCTCCTGCCCCGTCTCCCCACCTCCCTCCCATTCCCCCCCCCCCACCCAGTCCTCATCCCTGTGTCTTTCATACTTGTTCATCAAAATCCCTCCCTATTTTCCCCCTTAAATTCCCTTCCCTCTTCCCTCTGGTCGCTGCCCACTTGTTCTCTATTTCAGTGTCTTTGTTTTTATTGTTTGCTTGTTTGTTTTGTTGTTTAGCTTCCTGTTAAAGGTGAGATCATATGATATTTGTCTTTCAATGCCTGGCCTATTTCACTCAGCATAATGCTTTCCAGTTCCATCCATGTTGTTGCAAAGGGTAGTAGCTCCTTCTTTCTCTCTGCTGCATAGAATTCCATTGTGTATATGTACCACAATTTTTTGATCCATTCATTTACTGACAGGCACCTAGGTTGCTTCCAACTCTTGGCTATTGTAAATTGTGCTGCTATGAACATTGTGGTGCATCGGTTCTTTGAAATTGATGTTTTAGGATTCTTGGGGTATAATCCTAGCAGTGGAATTGCTGGGTCAAAAGGCAGGTCGATTTTTATTTTTCTGAGAAAATTCCATACTGTTTTCCATAATGGTTGTACCAGTCTGCAATCCCACCAACAGTGAACTACAATAATAAATTCTGAAAAATACCAAAAGGATAGAAGCTTGAAACTCTTACATGATTATTTCTACCCTACCATTAGAAATAGTGCCATAGAGGACACTGAACAGGTCTTTGAGATTAATGTAATTTTAGACCAAGCTAATCCCCTCCCAGCCCTACAGAATGTTTTTTCTTCTTGGAATACCACATTGGCCTAAAGTAAACTCAGGCAAATGGAGAGATCTTATCCCCAGATAATTTTGACCTTCACCTTTGAGACTTTGGGAGATGAAGACAAGCAAAACATCTTCCTTGTGAGTAAAATCAGTAAAATGAGAGTCCATAAATAGGCACTGTACCTCTAGAGCAATAAAATAAGACTGGTTCTTAGGCGGAATTGAATTTTTAGAAGACCAGTGTTTTCTTCCTTCTCTGCCCTTTTTAATCCTCAAAAAATACACTAGAAATACAAAGAAGTGGTTGGTTTTTTGTTTGGTCAGCAATCCTGCATATTGAGAGATAAGAGTACCCTTCCCCCATTTTTAAGCTTCTGATTTCTTTCTAGTCTTGAAATTAAAGGTAAAATATGTAGAAAGTATTCTAAGAAATTGCTTTTAATCCTCTCAGTTGTGGGAGTAAATTAACAAACTTGATCCTTTCCAATTGACAGGCGTGATGGCAAGGCTCTTGAGAGATTCCTGCAGGATTACTTCGATGGCAACCTGAAGCGATACCTAAAGTCTGAGCCAATCCCAGAGAGCAACGATGGGCCCGTGAAGGTGAGGTGCTCACAGCCTCTCCAAACCTCTGCACTACTGCTTCTCATTTCTTCCAGAAATGCTGGGTCTAAGTGAAGACCTTGCTGGCTGTCGTGTTTTTGTTTGCTCTCTGTTCCCAACCCCAGACATAAAATAAGCATTGACAGAACTCATAGTGGTCAATGAGGGCAAGAGTATAAAACCTTCATAGAGTTTTCTGGTGGTATTTATATCAAAGCAAGGTTATTCTTTGGCACAGAACAAGCTAACCCCTAAGAATAATTTTAAGATTGTTGCTATAAAATTATTTTAAGGAAGGATTGGGTAGCACTTGTTTCCTGCAACTTCCTGGACATACTTTAACAGGAGACAGACATAGGAATCAGTTGGTTTCTGGGAAATCACAACATTTTTAATTGTCTATAAATGTGATTTGGGTTTCAGTGACATATTTGCAGTGGCAACACATCAGATTTGAGAGGGATTGGGTACAGAAACAAATACAACTTATGAATTTATTCTTCGGTTTATCTTACCAACTGGAGAATCTTTTGTGTTTTCCAGGTAGTAGTAGCAGAGAATTTCGATGAAATAGTGAATGATGTAAACAAAGATGTGCTGATTGAATTTTATGCTCCTTGGTGTGGCCACTGTAAGAATTTGGAACCTAAGTATAAAGAACTGGGAGAGAAGGTAAGTCTGAACTATATTCTGAAGATAAATTTTTGTTTTAAAGATTTTACTTATTTATCTTTAGAGGGGAAGGGAAGGAGGGAGAGAAACATCAATGTATGGTTGCCTTTCATGCATACCCTGCTGGGAACTGGCCTGCAGGGAACCGGCCTGCAACCCGGGTATGTGCCCTGACTGGGAATTGAACCGCGATTGTCTGGTTCGCAGGCCCGTGCTCAATCCACTGAGCTACACCAGCCAGGGCCTGAAGACAGAATTTTAGTTGGGATGTTTATACATGTATTTAGCATTGACTGATTAGTTAAACCTAATTAGTTCAGTACTTAAGTACTGGTAGATTTTTTCCAATCATCTACTCCTATTTACTCACTTGCTCCTGACTTTCCCCTGGTGTCTAGCCTGAACAGTGCCTCCAATACCTGCTTTAACTCCACACAGACTCAATCTAGGGGATAGTTAACAGTATCCAGGCTTCCGAATTTTGGTAATGGCTTATATGAAACCATTATGTTCTTTTATCTTAAAATACTTGGCTTAGCCTTTATAATGTCTTATTTAGTCTAGATAGTTTTGAAGGTGGCTGTATATAGAGCCTTAATATGGGACCAAGAGAGAAAAGGGAAACTTGTGAAAAACAAGATTCCATGTGCAAGTGTTAACTACTCACCCTGTCTGAGCAGCAAAACTTACCCAGGTGTTTAAAATATGATTGTTTTAAGTCCTGAATTGACTAAGTGTCCCTCAGTCACTGCAAACTTGAATTTTAAAGATCTAACCTTTTTATTAACAGCTTAGAAAAGACCCAAACATTGTCATAGCCAAGATGGATGCCACAGCCAATGATGTGCCTTCTCCATATGAAGTCAGAGGGTAAGTAGATTAAAAACTACTAAAAACATATAGGCAGTAGACAAAAAACCCATAAGCTGGTAAATCATTTTTTGTATTGGGTATAATTTGAGGAGCTCTCAAATTTGGGTCCAGTTGAACCCAGCACCACTGATGCCTTCCTGGCATAAACTTCTGCAGCATGAACCTACACAACTGCCACAGATTTTGAGAGCTCTCATATTCCTGAGTTTTGGTAGGATGTGATCCTAGCCACTGATGGAGATGTATCTAGTCAGATTAGAAATCATGGAGAAAAGTTATTTACAGAAACAGTTATTGGGGAAGTATATGTCAGTTACTCTGGAACTAGAAATTAGTCAACTGTTTTTGTTTTTCTTTCCCCAGTTTTCCTACCATCTACTTCTCTCCAGCCAATAAAAAGCTAGATCCAAAGAAATATGAAGTAAGTCATTGTCTCATCTCTCCACAAATAAACACATATTCAAACATACTTGTACATACCTAGTTCTTTAATTAAGTTTATTTAACTGGAAACTCTTTCAGCTCTCATTGTCTTCCTGTTGAGAGGGGGGGTTGTTACTGTACTTATACAAATTCAAGAGTCTTCCTATTGGGAGGGGGAACCCATGTTCTTTAAAAAATAAAATTTTCATAGTAATCTTTCTGCTTTCAGGGTGGCCGTGAATTAAGTGATTTTATTAGCTATCTACAGCGAGAGGCTACAAATCCCCCTATAATTCAAGAAGAAAAACCCAAGAAGAAGAAGAAGGCACAGGAGGATCTCTAAAGCAGCAGCCATACATACCACTTTGTAAAAGACTCTTCCACCAGAGCCGGGAAAACCATTGGGGAGGACTGGGACCCATGTGGGATTATTACCTCTCAGGGCCGAGAGGGTAGATGGATATAATCGGAATCCTGTTAAATTTTCTCTAAACTGTTTCTTAGCTGCACTGTTTATGGAAATACCAGGACCAGTTTATGTTTGTGGTTTGGGGGAAAAAATGTGTTGTGGGGTTGGGGGGAATTGTGTTGGGGGGTTATTTTCTAATTTTTTTTTTGTACATTTGGAACAGTGACAATAAATGAGCCCCCTTTAAACTTCTTTTTTTCCATGAGCTGGGAAGCCAGTGGTTCTCTAGACCAGTGCTGTCCAATAGAACTTTCTGTGATAATGGAAATGTTCTGTAACTTTCGTTGTCTAATACATGTAATTATTGAGCTTTGAAATGTGGCTAGGAACATTTTAAATTTTCACTAGTCACACCTAGGTCTACTGGCTACCATATTGGTCAGTACAACTGTAGACCAACTGTCTGGGTCCACAGTTACCACCTATAAATCCTTTCCAAATTTTGCCTCTCTGTCCTTAAATGTTTATTGCCCAGACCCCTAGCTTGATAATTAGAACAGATGAGGAAACTTTCCTATTGGGTTCCGTTTCTGACCCTGTCTGTGCCTCAAGAATGGATAGTTGTATATCCTGGTCATGCAGCTGAGCATGTTTATACCTCCCAAGGTCTGTTGTCTGTGCAGAAATGCCCTGTGTGGGTTATGGCATCAGGTTGGGATTCCATCCAAGTTGTTTCAGGAATTACATACACTGCTGGGTGCAGCTCCCTTTCTCCCCCAAAGCCCAGGGTGTGGCCTATTAACTTTCCAGTGGATGGGGAAAAGCAGTATCATTCCTGGTTGTGAGTGAAGCATCCACTTTCTTCTGTGATAAAGAAGAATGAAGTGAACCGTTTCCCCTCTTTTTATGAGTAAATCCAAATCATATCCATGGTTATAGTTTTCAGTCACTGCATATTTCCAGATAGGAGTCCTGATTGTGATCTTCAACCTCAATGTTTAGAAAAGGAGAACTTTATTCCTGCTGTCATTTCTAGATGTCAATTATAAAATGGATTTGGTAAATAGAGCCTTATAGCAAAATGTGTAACAGGATCACCCATAGTGCTTTGAAGTAAAGAAGCCTAACCATAATTTTAGAGATTCTAATTCACAAGACTTGAGCTGGGATCTGAAGATCTAATTTTTAGAGAGTCCAGAAATGGTTCAGACAGCCAAATGTACTAACTACTGCCTTGGAAGATGTAAAGAAAACATATAGATTTGTACAAAGGACACAAACAGTTTTAATTTTTTAGCCATGTTTGTAAAATAATTCACTTTCAGTACATGGGTACAACCCCAAGCCCTTCCCATTAGATCTAGGTGTATTACAAGTTCGTAAAAGGTGCTCTTTTGTCAGGGAGGGTACCAGGCTGAATTCTAATGTCCTTGAGGTATCTTGTCCTGGGAATGGTGTCCTTTCTCAGGGTTTGAAAATGACTTGGCTGAACTACAGGTGAAGAAGCCAAGCCTCTGCTGCTTTTCCTAGTTTTCTGGGCATAGTTACAGAGTGCTGGTGCTGTGCCCACACTCTAAAGTTTAAAATATGGCAATAATGAAAATAAAACCTTAACCTAGAGCAGCTTTCCTACTTGCACCATGGACTCAGCAGTAATGAGCAGTTGCACTATTCTTTAGTTTTTAGCTGCTTTTTCCTTCATATCTCACTGGGTACTGCTTCAGCTGCACCTGTTCTTTTCCTCAAACTCCAGGATGAGACCTTTAATGTGGGACAATTTCTGATGCAGGTACTCACAGCGACGCTTTTCTTCCCTGTAACCAGGGTACCGCTGAAGAAAAAAAGCATCCATGTCAAAAAAAACCCAACAACATTTTTACCCTTCTTGCTACCACTCCCAGACCTATTCTTACCTTCCTGAACTTTTTATATTCCTGGACTATCTTTTCTTCCAGCACCTGAAACAAAGAAAATGCTAGCACCAAGTTTAACTTTGAAAAAGCTCCAGGTCTGTTAAAAGAGGGAAGTAACTTCCTTCTCATGCAACCAAATGATACAGAATAATTTTTCTCTCAAAACAGGCTGGCTTGTCACTTTGGTCACTAAACAAACAGGTTTATGGTTAGTTAGCAGGGAGTTTATGGCCAGTAGAGATGGAAAATGAGCCTAGGTCCAGTCCTTACCTTGTGTTCTGGAGTTCCTCGCTGAACTCTCTTGATTTCTGCTCCCAGCTCTGTGAACCTTTGGCTTGCAGCCCCGACTCGAGCATGCAGGATTCGGTATTCAACATAATCTGTCTCAAAATCCTTCTCATAAGCATGTTGCTGTTCTGCACTGTGGATGGCCCCATATTGCCTGGCAGGAACAGAGTGTTAAATTACCACCTTCAGTTTTAGTACCCCCCGACCCCCAAAGCTCCCAGCTCCCAGAAAGTGCATGTTAACATCTCATGCACAAGGCTGGATAAAATCAGAAATGGCAGGGAACTCACAGGAAGTAATCTGGTACCTCTTCAGGGCTTGGGGATTCAGAGTCTATGAAGGAAACAAGTCATGAAAGTGGTTATCTGCCTTTTTCCCTCACTGTGGCAGCTTTACACTCCTCTCAACTCTTACCTGCTTGAACTGAGGGACTGTGCTCAAGCCTGGGACCCATGTCTTCATGTTTATCTTCTGGCTCCCAGTCTCCCTCTTGTAGGTCCTGACTGGGCAGCCCTTGTAAGGGACTTGAAGCTACAGGCAGAGTCCTGAGCCTCTTTCCTTTCAATTCTATAGTAGCTGCAGGCGCTGGACGCTTCTGTTGGGGAAAATACTTCCATCACACTAACAGTATGTCAGAAGCCTCCTGTTCTTTCTCTTGAAAACTACTTCCATACACTGATCTCTGTGACCATGAGAATGAAGTCTCCCAGTTTTTAAATTTCAGTCTGGACAAATCTTTTTTTATCCTTACCTGAGGACATGCATACATTTCAGAAAGGAGGGAGAGAAACACTGATGTGAGAAAAACAATTGGTTGCTTCATGCATCCTGACTGGGTACCTAAGTATGTGTCTTGACAGGAATCAAACCCACGATCTTTCTGGCTTAGAGGACTAACCCAAACCAACTGAGTCATATGAGCCATGGCTGAAAAACTCCTCCTATTACAGCTTACTTTGTCCAGGTGTTTCTGGCTAGCAGAGGAAGGCAGTGCCTGATCAGGTCCTCTGTTTGGAAGACAGGTCTGGTTCCTAGGATATTTGAAGAGGGAATGAGAGAGATGAAGATGAGGGTAGGAGGTAGGGCTCAATTTCCTGTACCATTTAGGGTGGAGATTTGCGGAAGATGACACCAGGACTTTCCAGAGTAGTCCCACCCTGCCCCAAGTACCTCACTTCCCACTGTGCCATGTGTTCCCTCGAGGATCCTGGGAGTGCCTGTTCTTGGCTACTTGCCAGTGGATCTGGCACCTGGCAGGGAAAGTGTCATGGGCACTTGGCTACCTGGGCTTCACGCTTTGCCCCACCTTATCCTAACTCCCTGCAATTTCTGGCCTCACCTCTTCTAGTGCCATCAGTGACCGTGAGGCTGCATTTCCAGAATAGTCTCCCATGTTCTGCCAATTCTCAGGATCTCCGGCATCTTCAGTCAGGCTGTGTCCCTGAACTGAAGATGGGGCTGGGGTAGAATCCATGGCTGCCCAAATAGTGAGGCGTTCCCTGAGTGGGCCCAGGCAGTGGAGGCGGTTAGGTCCAGATCTGGAAAGGGGTGATGAAAAATAAACCAGGAGGGTGGAGAACTTTTAAAGCACCTCTGGACGTCCCCTTCCTGGACTTACCACAAACCCTGCTACCTGTTTGTTCCCCCTTACCTGCCTAAGCGTTGGCACACAAGGTCCAAGCCACCACCACCAGGGCCCTCCTGGCCACACTGGGACACTACGAAGGAGAAGAGGCAGGAGCAGCCAGGGCCTGGGAGCCTCAGATACTGGGGTGAAAGGAGACCATAAACCCCATGAAGTTAGTTAGCCCTTCCCCCTCCTGTCAATGTCATTCCTCCCTGAGCCAGCCTAAGACAAGATGGGTCCCGCGAGACTCGTTAGCACACCAGGTGCAGCTGGGCCTGAGTTCCCAGGAGGCTAACACAGCGCAGTTTCTTCAACCGCAGCCTCCTGAGACCACAACCCCAGCAGCCCCCCAACCCCACTCAGGGTTCAGTTCTCAGGAACTTCCTCAGACCGTGACTGCTCTCAGACTCCCGCCCTGACCTCACCTTCCCTGGGCGCCAGTCTGTTCTCCCCGCACCCCACACAGTTCACAGAGCCCAGGTTTCACAGAGCCCAGGTCCGTGCTTACCCCTCGGTTGCCTTGGAAAGCGATTACTGGCCGAACCTGCAGGGAGAGCACAGGCACAAGCTAAGCGCAAGTGAAGCAGCGTCCCTGGGATCTGGATCTGCCGTCGAGTGCCTGGAGGGACCTGCCTCATGGACTTCACTTGGAGAAGTGGGGAAGCCGCTCCCCATACGCAGGTCCCTTCATCAGGGTCTCCGGCTGAGGCCTGATGTCCAGAGGGGTAGGGCATAGGGAAGGTGGGGTCCGGGGCCGCCACACCTGTTGACGCTGACACTCTTGCAGTGCCCGCAACGCCGGTTCGTTGAGCCTGAGCAGCAGGAGGCTGGTCCGGGCAGCTGGGGTGAAGCAGAGCCGGAGCTTCCCACTCAGAAACTCCTGAGGTCCTGCCATAGCCGCGAGGTCGAGCACAAGCAGAACCCGAGCCACAGGCGAGGGCCACCACGACTACTTTCGCTCTGCAGGGCTAGACTTGCACAGCCAGTAGCCCAGGTCGGCCCCGCCTCCAGCCAGGACCCCACCTCCGACCCCACCCACAGTCACCACCGCTCCCCAGGTTCCCCAGCCGCGTGGGCGGTGCTTCTCAAGGGCGCGCAGTCGGCGCAAACCCCAGCGGATTCTTCTCGGTTTGGCGCGGGCACCTCGTTAGGCTTTCGGAAGGGACTCTCTCAGTTCCCGGGCGAAAGGCTGCGACCAGCCTCAGGCTCTTTCTCCCAGAATCTCCAGTCCTGCCTCAGTTTCCCCAGCCAATCCGAACTCAGTGTTGCTGTCTGTAAGTGGAGCTGAACCTGCAAACTCCAGAGGCTTCTAGGCGCAGAGGGGTGGGAGAGAAGCCCTGGTTGCTAGGCACTCGGAAGGCCAGGAGCCCCCAGGGTCTAGAGGATGGCTGACTCAAAGGGGAATTCCCGACTCCAGCACCTGCTGCAACACTTTTACTTTCTTTTTTCTTTTTTTTTTTTTTTTGCCCGCCGTACTCCTGCAGACCCGAAACGGGTTTCTAACGAAAGCTGGAGAGAAAATTGGCCTCGTTGGTGTCATGGCAGCGTAGAAGCTTCGCTGTGCGGGCTGGAACGCCCCCCACCGGTGGGGGAGCGTGGGTGATGGCAGAAGAATTGCAGGGCAAAGGAGAGGGAGAATTCAGTCCCCTGTTGCCCCTCCTGGCCTAAACTCGTGAAACCCGTGAAAGGGAATTGGCCCGCTCCCTAAGGAGGACGAAGAGGTGTCACGAAGTTGCCAGACCTTCCGAAGGTCCAGACCCTAGTGCAGTGGGACCCCAGGACGAGTCTCAGGTCGGCCCTTGGTATTTGCACTATTCCTCATTTGGGTATGTTTCTCGAGACCCCTGGTGGTGTTCTCTTTTCTAACCAGGATCCCTCTGCTAAATCTCTAAACATGTACAATCCCACGTGACCTTAATACCCCACACCCCAAGTCAAATGAACTATACTTACATTTGTCAGAACTCATCAAATTGTACTTAAAATTTTATACATTATACCTTAATAAAGTTGACTAAAATCAGTGCAACAAACCTACAACAACAAAAACATTTACTGGCCCATGTCCTCAGGGCTCTCTACTTCCCTGGGTGACAATTTGCCAATTTGATAAACAGTTGTAGCAATGAGTAAAGCTGGTCTCCCAGGGTTCCCTTTCTCCTCAGATGACATCTATGGCCTTTTATTAGATTTTCCTGCATTTAAAATCAAAGGACAGGCTAGAATGGTGAAATTTCCCAGACAGGAAGGAAGGAGCAGTGTTGTAAGAGGAGGCAACTGGGGAAGATATTTGAGGAGGGGAGGTGGGGATCTATGTGTTTGGTGTTTCCTTTGGGTGTCAGGATCTTTGCCCATTACTTAATTCTTACAATAGCTTTTTAGGGCAGATATTATTGTCCATATTTTCATTTATTCATTCAACAAATATTTTCTTGAACATTTACTCTGTACTAGATCCTTGGGCTACATCAATGAACAGATTCTTGCTTTGGGAGAGCTTACATGCTAGTGGGAGGGAGACACTATAAACACACCTAAGAAATAAACACAAAGTATGGGATGTGGGGGGAAGTTGAAGAGGGTAAAAGGGGTCGAATAAATCGTGACAGAATAAGAGTAGAGTTTGGGTGGTGAACGAAATGCAGTAGACAGATGATGTATTATAGAATTGTACACTTGGAACTTATATAATCTTATTAACAAATTTTGGCCCAATAAATTTAATAAAAAACATAGTGTATGTTAAAAGGTGGTAAGTGCTATAGAAAAAAAATTAAAAACAGCAAGGTAAGAGAGTTTAGAAGTGGAGGAGGAGAAAGTAGATGAAGGTGGAGAGGGTTGATACTATATTAAGTAAGGCGATGAGAGAGGCTTTCTGGAGAAGAAATTTGAGCAATGCCCTAAAGGAGGCAAGGGGATTGGCTCAGCTGTACAGATGAAGGAAATGCTTTTCGGACAGTGAGTCTGGCCAGTGCAAACTCTGTGAGTCAGAAGTGTACCTGGAGTGTTTGAAGAAAAATTGAGGTCAGTGTGAGCAGAACAAAATGAGTGAGCAGGGGAGTAGTAAGAGAGAAAGTCAGGAAGGTAAGGAGCAGGGGGGATTAGGTCATAAAGGGCCTTATTGGTATTTTAAAGACTTTGGCTTTTACTTTGAATGAAATTGAGAGTCATTACAGGGTTTTGGGCAGAGGAGTAATATGAAGCCACTTCTATTTTAAAAGGATCACTCTGGTTCATGTGTCAAGAATAGACTAGGAGGATAACAATATGACCTGTTAGGAGGCTATTGCAGTAATCCAAGCTAGAGGTGGTGGTGGCTTGCACTAGGGAATAACTGAGCAGGCAGGAAAAGGGATAGGGTTCTGAATATCTTGAGGACAGAGGATTTCCTGATGGATTGAATGTGCTATGTGACAGAGAAATGTCATTAAGGATAACTGTAGGGGTTTTGGCCAGAACAACTAGAAAGATGAAATGGTCATGAGCTGAGGAAGGGAAGACTGCATGTGGAACAGTGTTAGTTCTGAATATGCTGAGTTGTCAAGTAGAATCCACATGGGGATGCAGAGCGGGCAGTTAGACACACAAATCTGGAGAAGGTGAAAGATGTCTGGGCTAGAGATGTAAACTTGGTAGTACTAAACATATGTGTGTGTGTTATGTGCCATTGAGTCAGTTCCAACTTCTGGCAACCCTATCACTGAGTGATGTCCACAATGCCCTGTCCTCAGCAGCCGTACTCAGCTCCTGTAGAATCATGCCTATGGCTTCTTTCATAGAGTCAATCCCTCTCATAGTTGATCTTCCTTTTTCTTGTTGCCTTCAATTTTTCCAAGCATTATTGTCTTTTCCAGAGAACCCTGCCTTCTCATGGTGTGCCCAAAGTAGGACAGCTTCAGTTTTGTCATTTTTGACTCCAGTGACTTTTCAGGCTTAATTTGCTCTAGTGACTACTTGTTCATCTTTCTGTTGGTACAGCTTTGGTCTCTAATGACACATCTTTTTTTAAAAGATTTTATTTATTTATCTTTAGAGGGGAAGGGAAGGAGAGAGGGAGAGAAACATCAATGTATGGTTGCCTTTCGTGCGTCCCCTGCTGGGAACTGGCCTGCAGGGAACCGGCCTGCAACCTAGGCATGTGCCCTGACTGGGAATCGAACCGCGATTGTCTGGTTCGCAGGCCTGTGCTCAATCCACTGAAGCTACACCAGCCAGGGCTCTAATGACACATCTTTAAACTAAACATATAGATGGTATTCTCAAAGCCATGAGGCTGGCTGAGATCATCCAGAAAAATAGAGAAAAGCCTAAAGAATTCTACCCTGGGCCACTTGAATCTCTGGAAAGAGGTCAGGGTGAAGAAAAGCAAAGCCAATTGAAAGGGAATGGCCAGTGAGGAAGGAGGAACACCAGGAGCAACAAGAGAGTATGATGTCCTGAAAGTGAAGTGAAGAAAATGTTTCAAGGAAAAGGGATTGATCCTGGCTGATGTAGCTCAGTGGATTGAGCTTGGGCTGAGAACCAAAGGGTCACAGGTTCGATTCCCAGTCAGGGCACATGCCTGGGTTGTAGGCCAGGTCCCCAGTTGGGGCTGTGTGAGAGGCAACCACACACTGATCTTTCTCTCCCTCCCTTTCTCCCTCTCTTCCCCTCTCTAAAAATTAATAAATAAAATCTTAAAATAAAATATCTTTTTTTTTTAAAAAGAAGGAATTGATCAACTGTGTCAAATGCTGTTGTTAATAGGCCAAGTAAAATGAAGATTAAACATTGACCATTGTAATGAAAGTTTTTTTAAATTGACAGTGGTAATTGTTGCTCATATCTGTGAATATACTAAAAACCACTAAAATTGTACACTTCATTTCAAATGTGTGAATTCTATGATATATGAACTCTGTCTCAATAAAACTGCTTATAATGACAAACTCTGTCCAGAAAGAATTCAACCATTATTAACATAATGAGGACAGTTTGCCCGACATTGCTGTAACCTGGCAGCCAAGGATAGTGGACTGGAATGCTCATTAGTGAACAATGATGACTTCACTGTACTAGTCAGTGGGGGTGGTAGACACCATTGAGTGAGCATGTATGCTGTGTAGCTGCCACATTCAAAATGACTGAGCAAGTGGAGCAACGAATCTGCATTAAATTTTGCATTAAGCTTGAACATTTTTCCATGGAAACTATTCAGATGATTTAGAAGGCTGCAGCTATGGGCAACTGGTGATCGGCAGCTTTATCATGACAACGTGCCCACTCATGCATCACATCTTGTGCAGAGATGTTTGGTGAAACATCATATCACCCAGGTAACTCAGTCCCTGCTACAGCCCAGATTTGGTGCCCTGCAACTTCTAGCTTTTCTCCAAACTAAAGTCACCCTTTGGAAGACAAGAGATTTCAGACTCTCAATGAGATACAGGAAACTACAATGGAGCAACTTATGTTGATTGGGAGAACCGTATGAGGTCCCAAGGTGCCTACTTTGAAGGGGACTGAGGTATTATTGTTTTATATAAATGGTTCTTCTATATTCTTCAATAAATGTCTCTTTTTCATTTTACATGGCTGGATACTTTGCTGGACAGACCTTCTATACATATGTATATACATTTTATTTGCCCATTTAGCTGTCAATAGACACTTGGATTGCTTCCATTTTTGGCTATTGTGAATGATGTTTTAATGAACATGAGTGTAAAAATGCCATGTTTTCCAAAATGTATCTAAAAACATTACTGTGAGAAGGGGTCCATGACACACAAATTCTGAGTGGTCTGGCCTAGAATTTGAACTCAGACCACCTGGCTCTAGAGCCTGTGCCTATATCCTCTGACTTACAACATCATGCCACATCAGCAGCCTATACTCTCTTACATCAGGACAGGCTCTGCATCGATATATGGAAGAAGAGTAAAAAGACATCTTCCAGGTATGCTTGCAAACCTATTTCTATAGTTATTATTTTGGGTCTTCTCATCC